GGTGTGTGTGAGAGAGAGGGAGTGTGTGTGTGTGAGAGAGAGAGAGAGAGAGAGAGAGAGAGAGAGAGAGAGAGTGTTTGTGTGCTGCTCTGTTTTCTTTTAGACCTCCTCCTGCCAACAGACTCGCACGCGGGTCCTATGCGTCTGCGGGCAGAACAGCACCTCTGTCCGGACACACCTGCCACGCGTGGGAATGGGGCCAAATCCCAGCCCCGGCCTGTCCCGCAGAGCCAGCCCGGCTGGGTGTGTGTGTCCCATTCGGCCCGGGTGGCTGCAGAGCCCGGCTCGGCTGGGGGGCCCGGTTGGCCCGGGGGCGGGGGTCCCATTTGGCCCGGGTGGCTGCAGGGCCCGGCCCGGCCGCGGGCCGCCGAAGTGACACCAACTCCGGGCGCGAACAATGGCGCGGCCGGGCCCGAGCTGACGGCTAATGAGGGACATATGTCTCCGAAAGGAATCGCGGGGCGAGAGGGACCTTCTGCGCCCCTGCGCGCCTCATTAGCATGAGCCGCACGCCATTGGCCAGGCCGGCGTGATGTCAGAGGGTGACTTGTAAACTTCAGGCGACTGCGGATTGTTCGCTTGGTTGCCGTCCCACCCGTCTGCTGCGGGTAAGGCGGGAGGGAGGGAAATCTCCCCAGAGCTCCGGGCAGGGGAGCAGAGCGGCAGGGATCACACGGGCATTCACGGGACGAGCAAAACCAGCCCGGAGGTTTGGCTCGATTCCCGGGAGGAGGCGCCTCCCCACGTGCGGGGCAGAGAGTGAATAGGGGCTCACAGCATGGATGGGGGGGTGTCTCTGACCCCCCCCCACTGCACAGCTGGGGGAGTGGAGGCCTCTGGGCCAGGACTAGGAGCCAGCAGTGCTGGTCTACATCCCCCTTGTTCTAACCGCTAGGCGGTGCTATTTTTGTGCCCAGGAGGCCTGCCTGCTCTATAACCACTAGGCCACACTCCCCTCTCTTAGAGTTCTGAAAGAACGCAGGAGGCCTGTCTCCCCCTCTGCTCTATAACCACTAGGTCACACGCCCCTCCTAGAATTCTGAAAGGACCCAGGAGCCCTGTCTTCGCCTCTGCTCTATAACCACTAGGCCACACGCCCCTCCTAGAGATCTGAAAGAATCCCGGAGTCCTAACGCCCAGCTTTTGCTCTAACCACTAGACTGCACTCATCTCCTAGGGGGCGGGGTAGAACCCAGGAGCCCTGGCTCCAACCACTACACCCCACTGCCTCCCCAAGCCAGATGGAGCAAAAGGACGAGCCAGCTTGGCACTTTCCTCATTAAAAAGTGAGCATGTCGCTTTTTATTGCATCCCAGAGACCACAGGTCCTCGTTATCCTCCTACCAATAAATCAAATAAATGGAGGGGGGGTTTGCAGGGCCTCTCATTAACCCAGGAGCCCTGGCTCCAACCACTACACCCCACTGCCTCCCCAAGCCAGATGGAGCAAAAGGACGAGCCAGCTTGGCACTTTCCTCATTAAAAAGTGAGCATGTCGCTTTTTATTGCATCCCAGAGACCACAGGTCCTCGTTATCCTCCTACCAATAAATCAAATAAATGGAGGGGGGGTTTGCAGGGCCTCTCATTAGATCTGGCCACGCTCGCGAAGCGGGGGGGGTGTTAAACAGGGGGGGGGGGGGGGACTCAACAGGGCACCCGGCCTCCCCCCTGATTTTTTCCCCTTTTTGATCTCACTTGCAAAAAGCCCGGGCAGGAGGCGACTCACAACAGCGTCACTAAATCATCTCGTCTCACTGCTGTTCCCGGGAGATTTTTTTTTTTGATGGATTAAATTAAGCGCTTCCATTTCCGTCCACCACCTGATCGCTGCATTATAAACCCAAACAGCTGATCCGAGAGTCTTCAGAAATTCGGGACCCGCTGGGGCGGGGGCGGCAGGGCTGGGAGCT